AGAGGGAAGGGAGGGAGGGAAATTAACAAGTAGGAAGGGAGGGTCCTCTGCACTACAGAGATAATGAAGAGAGACGCTTGGCTTGGCCCCAGTGTTGAAGGTGGACAAAGGGAAGGGAAATTCCTGGGGTGTTGGGGTTGCAGGGGAAGGAGAGGTGGAGCAGGGTGAGGCTCTTGTCAGCTTCCTACAGAGAGGCAGCCTCTCTCCTGGAAGGGCTATCCCTGAACAGTGGCTGCCTCCTCAAGGGCTCAGGATTAAGAAATGTTAATTACATAAGGGGCCTAGCTTGATGTCTTGTAACTTGAAACATCTAATCTCACCCAACAGTCTTTGGAAGGCAGCTGCATTCAGGAGCGCCAAACCTCTTGTCAAATTTTATATTAATTTTACAGTTGTCATTGGATGAAGTCCCAACACGTTTTATTGCTTTTAAGAGTCATTTGTTCTATTTGGGGTGACTCATACGGTCTGAAATAGTTTAGCAGAATTTATGATTTGCTAACTGCTTTCTCATCACAATCCTGATTGTTTCTCCCCTCTGTGGTACAGCTTTTATTGGCATTTGTGTTCATTATCTTTTTTTTTCATTACCATATTTGATCTTCATAACAGTGTGCTAGTATCATTTTCATCATTTTATAGATTAGGACAGTAATACTTCAAATAGTAATAAGCCATGTCAAATGCTGAGCCCTTAGTATATATGCCTTTCACTGTAATAGTGCTTTTTATATTTTACCTCATTTATCCTGCCAGCAATCCTGATGAGGGTTCTTGCCAGCCCATTTTACAGATCAGAAAACTGACATGTAGAAAGGTTAAATAACTTGCTCAGGATTACATTGGATTAAGTAACAAAGTGGCCTTCTGTGCTAGAAAGAGAGGGCTACCATGGTTGTTTCTTAGAAAAACAGCTAAATGGCATGAAAAGCATTCCCTGTTCTTTTTTTTTTTAAATAGATATTAAAGCTGAAGTTTAAACATTAAAATGTTGTGCACAATGTTCTCTTCTATTGCTTATTTGCTGTGGTTGTGGTTCATGTTGGCCGCATGGCATTTATTAGCTCTGTATTCTACATAATTGTCTTTTATATACCTTTCTCGACAAGTCAAAGGTATTTATCTCAGAAAATTTAGATGAGCTTTTGTTAAATGAGCTGGAAGACATCACATCATTATTTCTGTCACCTGTCACTTATCAAGGTTTTTAACCTGTCATTGGTTGAATTCAATAGAATCTTAGACTTTGGGACAGAAAAGTTGGGGAATGGGTTATCTAATTAGATGCTCATAAAAAGATATTGTTGATAATGCTTCAGAAGAGCCTCAGTCCAACTGAGTGACTGTGATCTCTTGACTTCCTTTAGCGGCACGGTGATAGCCCCACCAAAAATTAAAACAGAGGCTTTAAAATAGCATTGCTGTATCTCAAAAAGGTTAGAGGAACTTTCATTGAACCTGCATGGTGTTTAGCTTTGTAACATGAGGCCAAATTCACTTTTGGCTAAATAACTTTATTCTCCACTTTTTGAAAGAGCAATGAGCAATGAAAAGATTGATAACATGATTGATCCCTGGAAGGTTCATTTTCTCTGTCCTTATATTTTACTTGTTTATATTCTGCCTCTTTTCATAGATATTTCATGGCATTCAAGATTAAATATACAAAAAAATGGGAACAGCACATAAAATAAAAATCAGGAGTAATACACATAGAATAAGAGATTAAGGTTTAGTGTACAGTTAAATGTAACTTGCTGATTCCCAAAGTTGAGCCACAAA